ACAGAAAACACACTGGACGCTGCACTAGGTCAGAAACCAGCAGTCCATCACAGACGGACCACAAAATGTCCTCTCCGTTAAAGGCAGCTCTTTGTGGAACAGCCTCCCAACTGAGACACGGGATTGACCCACTCTCAATAGCTTCAAAGGTCAACTCAGAGAATGGTTGAGAAACAACCAGACGTCCAATCACCGCTAAATGCACTTCAACACAGGGGTGTCTCCTCTTGCACTTTATGCATCTCTTGTATCATCTCTTGCACCTAATATGTCGTTGCTGCTACAGTGTACTGCCATGTGGTAAATACTCGTGTGTGCTGCTCTTGCTCTTTTGCATATCATGTATTTATTTGTTGCCATGTTTACAAATGTCATGTTCTTATATCTTGTATGTCAGGGACTACGGGTGGAAATGAGCTCAAAGCTAAAATCCGGCATATTTACACTTGAAGCATTATTTATCTAAAGCGTTCATTAATGTGCATTGTCCCTGTTCAAATAAACGATTACATGAAATGAAATGAATCTGAGTTGTAATACCAACAATTTATATTTTACGATGTTGATTTTTTCTGACTGTAACTCATCTGCTGACTGCAGAGGGTCGAGGTGGGTGTTAGTTGGTAGGAACCAGACCAACTGATGCAGGGACGTGTTATCAGCGTGTGTGTGTGTGTGTGTGTGTGTGTGTGTGTGTGTGTGGTGTGTGTCTGTGTGTGTGTGTGTGCGCGTGTGTGTGTGTGTGTGTATGTGTGTGTGTGTGTGTGTGTGTGTGTGTGTGTGTGTGTGTGTGTGTGTGTGTGTGTGTGTGTGTGTGGTGTGTGTGTGTGTGTGTGTGTGTGTTGTGTGTGTGTGTGTGTGTGTGTGTGCAGCAGAGATAAGCAGAAGGTGTTGGGCTGATAAAACAGTGAGATGGGAGTTGGTTCAGTTTTCTGCTTCATGTCCGACTGAAATACTCAACGTCAGTTTGTTTAAACTTCTTGGTAAACAAGACAAAACAATAACATTTTCAGATTCAGACAAACAACCTTCATACCGAATGTCTAGTCCAATGTCTGTATTACAAATATATATTTGTTTGTATAATAAAGGATTTGTTTTCAGCATAGAGAACAAACCACTGCAATGGTTACAGCATAGTGGAAGTAGAAAGAGACATCAGCAGTCATTGGTAAAGGCTTAGCATCAATAATTGTGCAGATTTAAAGAGACCCTATGCTTTCAAGGGTTATCCCTGTGTTATAGGTTTGTGTGCATGTAAATGGTCTGCAAAGGCTAAAATCCCAAAAGGGAGTATCTCATACTGACATCCCTATGTACTGTAACACTCACGCTCCTATTGGCTATCTCTCCAACACATCTCTAAGTGGTTGACCCATCACAACAGAGCCGACCAGCCAACCAATCAGAGCAGACTGGGCTCTGGTTCCAGACAGAGGGTGAAACATAAAGATTTTTGAACATTAAAGCGTGAAAAACCCATGACATTTCAGACAAACTCTTCATCCCTCACCTTCTCCGGCGACCTCTTTAATTTGCGCGGCGTCCGTCTTCACTGATGTGTGGCTTTTCGTGGAGGAGAGTCGTTTCTCATCGGTGCTTTGTCGATGAGGATGATGATTATTGTGTCGATGATGATGAGGATGAGGGATGCTGCAGCTGAGTCTGTTACAGGTAGACGACCGAGGGGGAGGAAGATGAGGTGGAGGAGAGGAGAAGGATGAAGATGGAGGAGTACAGACAGGAGGAGGAGATATGGAGCCGACGTCCACACCTGAGAGGCGAAAGGGGGAAATCAGACATGTCACATTCAGGTAAAAAACAACCAGTACTGCGGCATTATCTAAATATATTTTATAAAACGGACAGGTCAAATCAAGCAATCTGATTGGTTCTTAGCCGTGATATAATGAGCGTATATCACGGGTAGAATTGTAGTTACTTTTCACAACAAGTCAGTATCCCTCTGTGTCTGAGAAAAGCTACAACCGTTACAACTGTTACATTACGTCCGTTACGAAACTAACTAATAAAGTTTAAGATGGAAACATGGAAGGGATAATGTGCAGCAAGGACTTATTGATCGTTGTTAAGGACGCTCACATCTGCAGAAAGAAGTCCGGTCGATTGAACTGTACACAGTTGGGCAGTTCCGCTTCGCGTCGGGCCGAACCACGCCCCTTGATATAATGACCATGTGCCACGGCCTGTCGTGAGCTATTGCTTAAACAGTACATTCATTGTTGCTTTGGATCTATGTATCAACATAATCCATCTTTTAAGTGTTTTTTTGATTGATTTTCTTGTTTGAATTGGCCCCACCTCTTGTGGACCAATCAAATCAAGTGCTCTCAGAAAAGCAGGCGAGGGCAAGTCGGCCGAGCCATTTTGGTCTGAAAAGAACCCCTTTCAGTGTTAGAAATGTAACAACATGTTCCTTCTGAGATCAGCAAAGGGCTTTCAGTGAATAACTTGTTTACCAAAATGCTGAAAACGGAAGTCAATTTCAAACCTGAGGTGACATCCAAGTTATTTAAGTGTTTTCAAAAGGGTTCTTAGAAAATAAAGAATCAAAGGCAAGATACATAACCTCCACTACACCAATAGCTACCTTTCTGTTTTCTGGTTGAAGAGGCGAGCTCTGAGGGCAGCAGGCGAGCGATGTCATTGGTGGATGAGCTGTCCGTCACAGATTCATCACCGCTGTCACCTTCCTCCGACCTATCAGAGAGCGGGGGAGGGGTCTCAGCAGGAAGAGGATCTAAAACATCAGAAACAAGCCGCCATCTTTTAATCTGCACGTAATGAAGAAAGTAAGGAGACAAATCCTCTGAAGTCATCGCTTGGTTTCATAAATCAGCTCATCGAACTGTAACTGAAAGGTTTTGTTATTTATTTCCACCTGTGTTGTGATGTGGGAGCGTCCCATTGGCTGTCGGCTGGCTCGATATGCATTCTGATTGGACTGCGTTCTTATTGGCTCCGCCCTCTGTGATGTCAGAGCCACGGCAGTGTGATGTCACATCCATCCTGTCAAGTAATGACATCATTAAGTAAATAAAAGATATATAAATTTGAATAATTTAATAAATTCACAACAAGGATTATACAAGCATGTTGATTCATTATAGTTATTATAATAATATTGATAATGGTACAGTTGACTGTACTTAATAATGATAGTATTTTTGATAAGGGTAATGGGGTCATGTTGGGCTGAGCGTTAACCCATAACCTTAACATGAAACACAACTCAAAATGATACAAACCGAAAAAAGGAAAAAGCAAAAACATTTAAAGAATTATTAAAATATTAACTATTACATTTAAAATAGATTTTAAAATACTAATGGATACAGTCAATACAAAGAAATACACTGAATACACACATCTTTACATTGTATCTCGATTATAAGTATAAATACTTTTACTGCAATCATTTAATCAGATGACTTATTTTAAACCTAAAGCCTTTTAAATTGGTAATGTATGACATATTTATTTCCCAGTTCACATTAAGTTCTGTCTTTCTATTAGTTGTTCATGTAGAAAATGTTGTTTGGAATATGCAAGTAAAGATTGTGATGAGAATAAAACATGTATTAATCCAGAGGGAAATAATTATGCAGCAGAGAGAGTGTCGAGTTGGAAAGTGTGAGGATGAAATAAAACTCGTTCATCCAAACATTTAAACAAACAAAGAAAACTAGAAGTTTCTCACCTGCCTCTGAGACTCCTCTCCTTTCCTTCTTTGTTTACTTTCTTTCTTTCTTACTCCACTCTGCGTTTCTCTTCAAACGGTCTGCTGCTGAGTTCAGTTGTGACCGCCTCCTCCTTTACATAGCAGTCACACACACACACACACACACACACACACACACACACATACACACACACACACACACACACACACACACACACACCCCCACACACACGCACGCACGCACACACACGAACCCTACATTTCATTTATATTAATATCAACACGTTTTTAAGAGATTAAATCACAAAAAACACCAAATGTCCCGTACTAAAAAAAAAACTTGTTATAGGTTGTACAAATATTATTTCTAATTAAAAGCAATATGAAGCAGTCACTTAATTCTGAAACACTGCCCGACTAAGACAAACAAAAAAGTGAACATACATTTATTTAAACTATTTTAAAGGTTGATTAGGCTATTTATTTATTATGTTTATGCAGGTCTTCCATATTTATTTTTACTTCACTTTTATTATGTATTTCATTTGATGGACATGTATCTATGTTTACAATGTTTGATAAAGGAAAACCCACTGGTTGTAATTTAATGTTAACGTGCTGCCCCCTGGTGGACACATTGAGAACTGCAGCTCAAACTGCTCTATAATAATAACATTAATTATATGTAGTTGTTATTAATATGAATATAGATTTGTATTGTTATATTAGTGTTATTTTAGTATTTTCTACAACCTTACCAGTTATCATTTTATTGTATTATATTATAGCCTTGTAGGATTTATTTTACCACATTATTATCATTTGTAGTATATTCACAATTTCCGTTGTTAACCCTCGTAGAAGTATTTGTACCAATTATTATATGTTATTGTGGTAGAAATTATTTTGTATTCCTTTAACATAATTTATCATCGTTTTTATCCAATTTCATAGAAATATATAAAAGTAATCAAAGAAGTAAAATGTACCATATTATTATTTATTCATAGATATTAAAATACTATTATTTATTCTCCTTTATATTACATGTATAAGACTATTTTTGTTGTTGTAAATTCAACATTATTTATAGTATTTTTCATTTGTATTGTACAATGCCATGTCTTTTATGCTGCACCACAAACCATTCCCACATTGGGGTCAATAAAGTACTTCATATCTTATTTTATTTGTTGTTATGCAGTATTCAGTGTGTGTTGGTGTGCTTCGGCCTCCGTCCTGCAGGTGTCGCTGCTCTCTCTTTGCTGCTGCTTTATTTCCCCGCACAGAAGAAGAAGAACGAGAAGAAGAAGAAGCAGAGCAAACAAAGAGACTTCTGCAGATTTTCGGGAAAAATGAAAAATGTGTGAAATGCAAACAGAGGTGTGGTGAGGACTGCCTCTTCTTCTTCTGTGTTTGCAGCAGCAGCTTCATCATGGTGAGTCTTCATCCTCTTCTTCTTCTTCACGGACAGATGTTGCGCTGATGGAGGAGAATAACGGTGCAGCTGGACACCCCCCCCTTTTAATATCCTGCAGCATCAGAAACACACACATAAATAATGACACATGACTTAAAATATGCAGACAATTTGGGTTGCAAGACCGGCATGCAAGAAAAAAAGCTGCATTAACAGGAAAAAGCCGTGTCGGGAAATCATTGTTTTCCTGTTATTATGAACACACTGAAGTGAAACTCAGTCTGCCTGCTAGTATAGTCTGTGTGTTCATTACGTACTCTGCTTTATGTAACATTAGATGTAGGAAAAACAGATTTGTCCCCTTTTCCTTTATTTAGAAGCAGACATAAGGTTTATCAGTCAGGGACTTGTGAAAGGCGAAATGCAACAACTGTCATACTGACTTGTTATGACATGTAATCACATTACTAGTTACACTTGTAGGTCAGAGTAGATTCAAATGAGTCAACAAGTCAGCCTGTTGCACCCTGCAGCTTCACACGCATACATAATGACACATTAAAGGTGGGGTAGGTACGTTTGAGAAACCGGCTCGAGATACACTTTTTGTTATATTCCATGGAATGCTCTTAACATCCCGATAGCAATGAATATCGTAAGTGCTTTGACAAAAAATGTCATCTGTGGAAGCCGTGGCGCTGTAAAAAGCTCGACCAATCATCTGAGCCGGCCCGGCTAAAGTAACTGGATGGCCTACCTGCCTGTCAGCCTTCCATCTGTGCACACACTGATCTCGTGCCCTCATTGGTCATGTGCGCGTTCGTGTGTGTTGGAGGAGGGGCTCTGTAAGGAAGTGGCAGATTTCTTCCGGTTGTGTATTTTCTAGCGCACTCGAGCTGGTTTCTCCAAAGTTACCTACCCCACCTTTAAAAGATGCAAGAAAGTGAAAGGAGTTTGGTTTCATGTTGGAAAAACGAACTGACTCACATGCACGAAGGAAAAGAGCTGTAGGTCAGATTAGATCCAAACTAAGTCAAGTGGACTCTAACTAGTGCAAGTTATTGTTAAAATTGTTATATATTTCTCGATTCTCCAATAAAAACTGAATTTGATAATGTCAAAATGTGTAAAATATATTAGCAACTGCTTTTCATTCATATTGTATACACTTTAATTGTAATTTTGATATTTGCAAACTTTAATTTGTGTCGCATGTTTTGTTCGGATGGTGAAAATGTTTCTTCATTTGCGTTTTTGCACTTTTGTGTTTTTATATTTGCATCGTTTTTGAGACTGCAGTGCGTTTCTCCGAATGGAAATATTTCCGTCGTTGTTGCACGTTTTCACCTTTTGGCCTCCGTACATTTGGTGATATATAAAGACCCTTAAAGTTTTTACAAATCTCAAACCAGTTATTTGAAATAAAAACACCTGTAAAACCCGGTCTTTTCCATGAGACGTCTTCACCAAGGCAATGCGTGACATTTGCTTTGAATAATTCCCACAGAGAATGAACTGTTTCCTTGATGTTTATTTCTCTTGTTTGTTTGTTGTGTCTCAGTCGGAGGAAGCTGCAGGAGCAGAGCGAGGCCCGGAGGAGGAAGAGGAGGAAGGAGGAGGAGGAGGAGGAGGAGATGATGGTGAAGAGGGGAGGAGGAGGAGGAAGAAAATGTGCGATGAAGAACCCCAAAGGTCCTACATACTGCATCTGCCAGAAAGCTGACATCAACTGTTTCATGATGTAATAAACCTCACGTAATATATCTAACTTCAACTAACTATTCATTTCATTATTTATTAATCTGCAAATTGTTTTCTACATTATTCTATTAGTCATTTCGTATCAAATGTCAGGAAATAGCAAACATGATTAATTTCAGTTTCTCAAATTCCAAGATGTCCTACTCACTTTAATTTGATATAAAACAGTGAAAAGCAGGACATCTTATTCTCATTGACTATGATGAACAGTTAGTGATTTTGTTTGTATATTTGGTGACACATTCGTGCAGCTACGACTAAAATCAACAGTTAAAACGTACATGTCTGTGTTTGTCCGTCTGTCAGAGGGTGTGACTGCTGCTCTGAGTGGTTTCATGGGAATTGTGTTGGAGTCTCAGAAAAAGCAGCAAAATCCATCAGAGTGTGGTACTGCCCGTCCTGCAGAGGTCAGTGTAATATCTGTGAATACAGTCGTACAAACTCATGGTAGTCACAGGGATTTTAGTCTTTGGAGACCATTTACATGCACAGAAACCTTTATAACACACTACAGGAGAGGGACAAGCCCAAAAGAGCACAACAGGGCCTCTTTAAAACACATCATGAACAGCAAGGATATGTTTATAATACCATGAACACACACACACTGGCCGTTTCTCAATGTCGAGCTGCAGAGCCACTATTTAAAGTATACTACGCCATCGAGTGGCGCCGAAGGACTGTTTAAATGCATTCGGCGCCACTCGATGACGTAGTATACTTGAAATAATGGCTCTGCAGCAGGTTTACTCGACATTGAGAAATGGCCACTGTAGTTTGATTTGAGTGAATCCCACACACTGTCCTGCTGCTACTAATACACCAAATGTGGATTAACAGGCCACCGAAAATAGTCCCAAACAAATACTCATAAATGTGACTTGCATCACAGCAGCTCCATGTGTAACATCAACATACATCACACGTCACTTGTTAGACGCTTTTATCCAAAGCGACTTACATACTCAATACTGTGGACAAACACAGGAGCACTTTGGGGTGAAGTGTCTCAGGGACACAACGACATGCTGACTGCAGTGGGGTTTGAACCTATGACCCCCTGATCCGAACACCAACGCACTAGCCCACTGCGCCACACGCCTCCCTAAATATCAAGACACAATACATGACAAACAAACATTTAACATCACTGAGAGAAAACATGCTCAAAGACCCTTTGATCTGGGATTCAGTTCTGTATTTTTTACTGTGTTTGTTGTTTCCCCGGCAGACAAAGACTCCTCTCTGGAGATCAAATACCGTCCGAAGAAAACCAAAGAGAAGGAGAGTGAGGAGAAGCCTGAGGGAGACGGGAGCTCCACCCCTCAGACCAAGATTGACAGGAGGCGGGGCTCACAGGTAACCTAGCAACATAACTGACAAGGGGCCGGGGCTAACAGGTAACTAGGCAAAAGCAGTGATAGAAGGCGGGGCTTAAAAAGGTTTCACTGGAGGATTTTGTCTAATTTTTTAGGGAGTTGTTTAACTTTTTTGACATATCTGTTGACAATTCAAATGCTTTCGTCCCTTACTAACTGTAGTTGTTGTACATCTGATATTTTTTATATTTTTGTAGTATTTTGTAATAATACAGCTTTTAGCATTTACTGTTCAATTATTTTATTTGAGTATTTAACACATTTTATTTTATAGTTTTTTGATAATAGGTATTTATATCAATTATTATTTATTTTCTATATTAATATTTTATAAATATTTGTCTGATATTTGGCAGTTTTTCCATTATTATTGTAAAAAAAAATGGTATAAAAGCTTCTCTGATATTTCATTACATTCTTTGTCTGATATGTATTTTTTATAATTCATCAGATATTTTTTGCAATATTTTTACAACGTTTTTTGATAAAATGTTATATCCTTTACATTTTGCATTGTCTTCTTGTAACATCGTTTTTACCTTTGGTCAGATCAAGCGTTCAGCGCGGATGTGTGGGGAGTGTGAGGCCTGTCTGCGCACGGAGGACTGCGCTCAGTGTGACTTCTGCAAAGACATGAAGAAGTTTGGAGGTCCGAATAAAATCAGACAGAAGTGTCGCCTCCGGCAGTGTGAGGTCCGAGCCCGGGTGAGTCAGCTTTATAAGGAGAATAACTAAACACTATTATTATACTATTGTTAGAAAAATCTCACTCGTCAACGGCTTGAGCTTCAATCTCAGGATCCATGTACTTGTGATCCTCTCCAGAATGGAAGTAGTCATCACATACAGAGCATCAACTAGTTCCTGAACAGTGTCCTTCACATGCTGATATCCAAGAGAGGGAGTTACACAGTCACAAGATGGAGGAATAGAAAGCAGTATTCAATGTTTACTTCAGATTAGCTCCACGTCAGAAATGAGCATGCTTGTCATATGTCTATCTCCATAGAGGCTGAATCATCATGTTAATCACATAGCTATCATATGCCTCAAACAGTTTAGTGATGCCCCTTTCACACCAACGCGTTTTCAGCTCCGGCTCGGAGCTGGAGCTGAAAAGTACCGTTTTTTCCTGTTCACACCGCAGAGGCGCCGCCTCTTAGCTCCGGAATCCGGTTCACTTCCAGCTCCAAAAAATTGTCGGTCTAGAGGCAAGAGCTTCGGAGCTAAGATGCGGCGTCGCTTACGTCTCTCTTACGTCGAGGCGGGGGGCAGATTTGTCGTTGAAGTGGATGCTGAAGACCACAAAGAAGTCTTGCATTTCGCATGTGATGTTTGTAAAGTTCCAACTAAAGTCGTCCCTTGTAAAGTCGTCCGATGCCTTCCATTTCGTTTCGTAAGAGGATAACCAAAGCGAACAGCGCTTCAATACAATCGGCCATTGTTGTTGTTGTCGATGTGAGGGATTTCCGCGTGGTTTGGATTTTATGAAGCAGGCACGTAAACGGTGACGTCATGACGCAGCAGCGGCAGCTCTGGGCGGTGTGAACAGAGCGGGAGCAGAAAAGGGAAACCGGAGCTGAACCAGAAAAGCTCCCGCTCGGAGCTTGAAAGGGAAAAGCGCTGGTGTGAAAGCCGCATGAGACAACTCACGTGTTTCTTCAACATGTTTATTAGAAGCAGCATATAGTTGAGTTTGGCGACTAGGCTCGGGCATCTTCACTCCACAGATATACATAGCATGATGAGTGATGATTAAATAACTAACCCTCAAAACTGCGTGGAGATTAGATACTATCCCCCAAAACTGCGTAGCCGAGCCTGACACTGGTGATGTAAGACTGATAAGTAGAGGGCCTGGCGAGCTGCCACGTGGCCATTCCCCCTAAGCACAGCGGCTTTAAGGGGAATATACTACCTAGCGAGACTGCTATGTGTAGGCCCGGGAACGCCCAAAAAGCCATCCCCCTTAAGCACAGCGGCTTTAAGGGGAATATACTACCTAGCAGTGTTGTAGTCAAGTCACCAATTCACGAGACCAAGTCACTCTCGAGTCACCACTCTTCGAGTCCGAGTCCAAGTCCGAGTCACCAAGGGAGAGTCGTAGTCGAGTCCGAGTCCAAGTCCGAGTCACCCAAGGAGTGTCCTAGTCGAGTCCGAGTCATCATTACCTGTGTTCGAGTCCGAGTCCAAGTCCCTAAATACAGATCGCGTTCTCACTGGAATAAGTCCCTGGGGGTGAATTAGGCAAATTAAGCCGCTGACGTCACTTCTTCTTCTTCTTCTGCATTGGGTTTACTGGCAGGCCGCAAACAACTTCACGGCGTATACTGCCGCCCAAAATCCCCGGCCGGAAGTCCCCGGAGTTGGGGACTGGCTTCAGTCGAAGCTGCTGGGACTCCCAGCAGCTTCGACTGAAGCCTTCCGAGTAAATCGCCAGAACGCCAATCAGACATAGGAACCTTTTTCTCCCACGAAAGTACCTGCTCTCTAGCAGGGACGGAAAAGGGGGTAAAAAGGTTCTCATTAACATAAACGCAACATTTCGGAACTATATCGGAACTAAAGTGGGAAAAGTACTGCGGTGTGAACGCGCCTATTAACCTTTGCACAGGTGCAAAGGTTGGGTTTGCGTTCATCCAGGCAACCTCAAACGTGGGGGGGGGGGACTATGAACTGTAAACTAAAGTCATTGTACGGAGATCCTTTTTCAACAATTGCGGGACATTAAGCAGGTAAAACGCAGATCCCAGCTATTTCTACAGTAGCCTGCATCATGGAGCATTGGCAGGTTATTTTCATGCTGCTGTTAATCTGGAGAGTGCATCAACAGACTCTGCGGCCGGCGCATAGGATTATAAATCAGACAACGTGCATTAAAAACATTATAAACACATAATGAGACGTTATGCAGTGAGGAGGTTTCACCGGTGACAGGTGGCTCTGATAAGATTGTACCACTGCCTTCTCTGTACACAGGGGACCAGTGAGGTAAGCAGTCACCAGAATGAATGCATGACCCTATAGGTTACTGGATGATGTACACATGGCAAAACAAGGCGATGACGCGCAAATAGTTTGTTTCCCATGATTTGATGCGGACTGCGTCACACCAGCAATGAACCTCTCCAGAGTTTACTAGCGAGCGACCCGAGACCACCTCTTTTAGCGGAGCAGAGGTATCGGACTGCTTCCACACCAATCCAACGAACCGCATCAAGGGGTTAACGCTCCAGGGACCGATTCAATAGTACTAAACAAGCAGGCGTGAACGTGACCTAAGACTATGGTGCCTTAAGGTTTGGACAGAAAGGCTAGCGCTTGTTCCTTATAAATATAAAACATCTCTTTAGAGAGACTACCAGTGGAGACCATGATTGAAGGCAGTAATCAGTATTGAATGTATTACAAGTCTAATATGTAGTATAACGTAGAGCACTTTGAACATTTGGAAAGGCGCTAAATAAATAACATGAATTGTAATTATGGCTGTTCTGATGCGGGACAGCTTGTCTGGTGGCAGTGAAGCTTGCATCAGCACACTATCGAGAATGATACCGATAATTCTAGACGTGTGGAAGGGCTTCCAGTTCCTGTTCTGAAAGAGGTAGGCCTAGCTGTTGAAAAGGTTTTAACTGGGAAAGTCAACTACTAGGAAATGGTTAAAAGATGGACACCAAGGGGTGCTTGCAGGTGTTGTAGAGAATCCAGCATAAGCTTCTGACGAGGTGTCAAAGAAACGTGAGCTACTACGGCAACCAAATGCACATTTGAGTGTACAACTTTAAAATATATATGCCCGCAGAAGGCATCTGTGATGTCTGCTTTCCCTGCCATTTCATCTACAGAGCAAAGAAACGGGAAATACTCTTGACAGAATAATCGTGAGGAACTAACGGCTCAATAAAGAAACGTTGCCAGAATAATTCCTCCTAGCACTAGGCTAGAGGCCTGTCATGTTTTTAAATGTTTAAATAGCAGCACGTGTAATAGGGCTGCTCGATTATGGCAAAAATCATAATCTCGATTATTTGGGTCAATAATTGTTATTGCGATTATTAAATGCGATTGTTCATTGACTTTGAAAACATCCATTTATTGGAGAAAAAAAATGTGAACAGTATGTTTTTAACAGTTGATTACCCTGAACTTTAAGTAGAATTCAACAACAAAAAAAGTAATAATAATAAAATAATCGTTTTATTTCGATTACGTTGTTTTCGTAATCGTTGCAAGCCATAATCGTAATCGCGATTAAATACGATTAATTGAGCAGCCCTAACATGTAATACTCCTGGCTCCTTCAGTGCAAACTTCAGTCTTGAGTGCAGGTTTTAACAGACATGGGTCCTGGGAGCCAGCATAACCTGCTAAGAAACCTTGATTTAAGCCTGTGATAAGGTCATTTAACGAACATCTGTGATTAGAAAGAGCTTGGAAACGATTTGCAGCATGAACCCAGCAAGGGGGCAGAATATTGCAGGTAGAGCTTAATTCCTGTGAGGAAAAACTGTTCTTTGGTAGGTGATTAAATGTACATGGCCGCTTGGCAGAGAAGGATTCATGGTATACATAGAAGAGACACTGTAGGAGAGATCGAAGTCTAAAATGATGGTCAAAAATGTATCGAGCTTCCCTTCATATTCACGTAACGGAAATTGATTAATTTATTTACATATATATATATTTTTTTTAATTGATTTATAGTAGTATAAATAGGCTACTTTTAAACTTACAACTTCTGTATAATTGCCTCAAATATGACTTACTGCAGGCCAAATATTCCATAATAAACATTGCTTATGCAGAATTGTATTATATACCTGCTAAAATGCTATCCCTGAGGAATTGCTGCTGCAGGGGGCAGGAAGCTAGAACTCGTGGCTGGATCTGGGACTCCAATTCCCAGAATCCTTTGGGGTGACGTCTGCGGCACAACACGCGGAAGTAGAAACTTTTGTTTACATTGCAGGCAGAGGAAATCGAGTTGTTCAAGGGAATATATCGTGGAATTAAAGGCTTCAAGCGCTGATTAACTTCGAGAAGGTAGGACAGGGTGGCAGGTACTTGGGAATGCCAGAGTCAGCTTGCTCCTGCCTTTTGGTGTTTACATATCCGCCGACCGAGAGACAGTGCGACTCTTAGCTGACACACAAGAGAGGGGTTGTTACCGGAGCTGGCGTAGAACTCGGGACTTCCTCTGGCCCAAAGGATATTAAAAACTACTCCAGATGAGGACGGTGTTCCGGATTAACTGGTTTCCCGATCAACTGGGGTGATTTTCGATCGCTTCTTTTGTCGTTTACATACATATGTTGGTATATTTGGCTCGGTAGGAAGACTTTGATGCACATTCAGTACCAGTGTGTGAGGTTGTGGTTACGATGGAGATATCCGGACGCAAACAGCGGGGACTACAAAAAGAAAAAACGAGTTGACTGGGGATGTCTGTTCAAAACATTGCAAGCTCCAATAAATCATTTAAACCAGCTATTGTTGCCAGACGTATTACTGAATATCGTTCTTAATGTGATACCAAGTCCATCTGAGACCTATGTACACCTTCAGACAGCCTCCCAGTGAAGCGTACGTTGTTTACTCACAGTTTGAAAGCAGTGTGGAGAAGTCTTCAGCTGTGAACTGTAAACTGTGATCCTCTCAGGGAAAAATGGGATCCATCCGCCCAGGTTAAACTGTGTTACGAC